TTGGCAAACAAAAAACAATAAAATGTCAACATAAGAGAAGTAACTTAAGAAACATATATTAACAACCTCTCCACAACCATCTTACTGAATCTAAAGCATACATCCAGCATTAAGATCATGTAAAACTAAACAGTAAAAGTGAACTCTATTAGAGGTTTAGGACCAATAGACTAGAGGCAGCCCGTTAAACTTAAGGAACTTACTCCAGCGTCATTTGCAACAGGCCTTCCGAGGTGGTTGAGTTCGGATTCAAGTTCAGAAATGGTCTTGTTAATGAGGTTTTGAATGCCAGGGATTTTGGACTTGATTACCGTTTCTAGATGCTGAGATTAACATTGCAATTACAAGAAGTCAGACATTAATAGCCAGAATATGCTACTATATAAAATTTCAGGGGGGGGGTGTAGATATGAGACAAAATATAGTGTAAGCTTACCTTAGAAAGAACCTTTGCTAGATGCTCAGAGCCCATCCTACGAGCGAGGTGCTTGTATTCTGGAGTATTAGCAAAATATTCCCGCTCTCTACGTCTAGCAGCAATCATGTCAACATTTTTGTTGATGTCTGCTTGTGAACGATTCACAACACCAACCCAAGGAAACTTCAACCTATAAGCTTTGCCTTCCAGCATCTTAGCAACGCAACGCAAAGAATGCAATTTAGAATACATGATCCAGTAGGTAAATACACATCCACCAAATCAAGGAAACAAATATTCAAATACCAATTCTCTGAAGGGGCAAAAAAAAAAATTCTTTTCAAATTCTACTCATTGTTCTTCAAATGGGCTTATATAATTAAATTACTTTATGTTTGAACTTGAGGGAGTTAAAAAAATACTTACATCAACAGCATCGGTTCCCTTATCCATGAGATCAATCTTTGTCAATACACCAAGAGTCCTCTCCCCTAAGAGAAATATAGCAAAGGGTTAAAGATACCCAGCAACAAATTTACTCCTTCAAAGAAGACTTGAGAAAACAATTATGACACAAAATTAGCACGAAGTATGCAACTTTTTTTTGTTTTGTTTTGCTTTTTTTTTTAATAAAAGAAAGCATGGATTATGACAAATAGCTACAAACATTGGAGTTACCTGTAGGATCAACTTCACGAGAGATTTTAATTGCATCAGAAGTAGCCAAATCTTGATTGGCAGGTGAAATAGCGAGTATAATACAGTTAGGCTGCATCAGGGCAGAGCAAATAAATTAATGAGCAGAGTGATTTTCATCCTTCTACTAACAATGAAAGTGTAAACAAAAATTGTTCAAAGGTACAAGACATTTATAGCAGCATCACAAATGGGATTAAGATGTAAATTCTTCTGTTAGAGGTAAAAGCTAAACACGACAAATTTCCTTAAAAAAAGTAGGAATAAGATGTACTCAATTCATCAAATAAACTGTAAAAAGTTAACCGAATCTCACTCAATTTCCTAAAAAAAAAAGAAAAAAAAAAGGTACACTACTTTCCGAGAAATGAAAATTAATGTGGAAACAAGAGATTATAATAGATGATTAAAATCAAAAGAGCATCCACCATTTGCTGAACCTTACCTTTTCAATAAAGGAACGAACCATCGTCTCAATTTCTTGAACAATACTTTCTGGTTGCCCCTCTGAATATTGTAAGAGAATACATAAGTTGTCAGACCATAGCACAAAAAGGCGAATAAGAAATCAGAATAAGTTGATCCTTCTAGGCTGTTTTAAAGTTTCCAAGGAGTACATGAAATAGGAGAGGTTCTCAATTAGGTTTGATAAATAGGCATTAATTTCTATGGATGGACAAATCAGATCAAATCACTAGCGTACAACTTGACAGCAAGATTATTGAGAAGAAATGACTTACCGACAGCTACTTTAGTCAGCCCAGGAAGATCAATAAGTGTCAAGTTTACAACTGCCAAAATTTGAAAAATACAGAGAATGTGTGAGAAGATGCAAGGAAGGTGTACGAATACCAAATGTGTCTAAATATTCAGTCAAAAAACATAGCAACGTTAATATCTGCTAAATACTCCCAAGATGCACTTCCATTAATTTAGAAAATAAAAATACAAATGGTTTTCAAAATAATTTCTCAAACTACCCTAAATCTCAAAACACTATTCCATCAAGGACAATATCAACCATGCAACTTTATGAAGAACTACTAGCAAAAGTTATTTTCTGCTAGGTTTGAAAATGTCTTTGACCAAAGAATGTCAGTTAACCTTTAATATGAAAAAGAAAATTAATACTTGGACACAAGATGTACAAAAGATGTATCAGGAAAAAAAAAACAAAGACCTACCATTGGGAGAATATATACTAAGATGAATTGGGACACTGGAAATTTGTTTAGAACGACCAGTCTCTCGATCCGTCTCATCTTGAATCTCCTTCCTGACAGCGACTGCAAAAACATGGTTGTGCAATAAGCAAAAAGTTAGATAAAGAAAGCAAAAAGTTAGATAAAGAAATCATTCACATTTTTGCAGCCTCGTTCAAAAGTGTACACACAAAAACATTGTTCAACCAATTTGTCACCACAACACATTATCCAAGACTCTTGCTAGTTCAAATCATAAGAATATGAAAAATCCTCCCAGAGAATGCATTAAATCATCAAGAAGTACAAAGTGTACTCATGTTCTTCTGCAAATGAATGTACCACATCATCCAGTCAGTTCCTAATTATGGTTCATTTCACTCTATCATTCTCACATCTCATTTGCCATGCCGGACTATTGAGGCTCCTAAGAATTTTAAAACTGGACTGTGTACCAAACGGCTTCTTTGACATTGACTGGTGATTCTATTAGTATGAAAGCTTCAAAAAACTAAAATGACTTCTTGCTAGAAGGTGGAATCAAAATATTTTTGCAAGTAATTTGATTGGAGCCCAATAAAAGTAACTCAAAAGGTGAGTTTGAGGACTTTGACATTAGGTTCTACCAACACTTAGGACATGAACCACTCCTTCCAACACACATGGGATGTAATCCAATCATTCAGTAAGGAGGCATCTCATACCTAGTCTTCATACTGCATCTTTATTTTTATTCTTAGTAGTAAAGCTTTGTTTCTTACCCCCACCCCCCAAAGTAAAATAAAAGAAAGATAGAAAGAAAGGAAAATGCAAGGAAAATTGAAATATCAAGAAAATAGAATGATGTTTACCAAAATCGGTAAATCTTTTCCTGGGAAGGTGGAGAAACTCCGCATACTCTCTGCTTCCTTCGTCAATTTTATGAAGTTGCAAGACAAGAGGACGCCTAGTAACAATACCTGTAAGACATCATCCCATTTAGGCAAAAAAAAAATGCAGCCTGTACATTTTACTTGTCAATCTTAGTTATCCATTAATTACCAGATCCACGGGGTAAGAAATCCTTGCCGACAATGCTCTCTAACACTGAAGACTTGCCCGAACTCTGCGAGAGTGGAAAAAAGAGAGGTTATTTCTGCTTGCCTGTGGTTTAAGAGCTACAGCTCTCTCCAGTTAAATCGATACATAGCAACAGATAGGACGTCCAGTCGATTAGAAAAATGATCGCGGAGAAGCCCTATGCCAACAAGAAAGTTCCGACACAAAAGTTTAATGCAGCGTCTACTTTAGTTCAGATATTACTTTAACGCCTATTTCCCGAACAGAACGCAACCCAAAATTGAGCTGAACTTTCGACGAATCACATGGATCCGCAGACCAAACTCGATTGCTAAATCAGACAACGAAATTTTCTATTCGCAGAAATCATCCATGTTTAATATTTGATTGAGCAACAAACCTCCGCACTAAAGATTCAGGCAGCAAAAATATCCATCCACTCCAAACAATAAAAACATTAAAGGATAAGAAAGAGCAAGAAGATCTCAATCCCAGAACACCACCATCAGCTCAGATTGCTGAAGTAGCGTTAATCAGACAGGAGCAAACACAGTTAGAAGAAACAGCAAGGCAAAAAACAAAAAAGAGAGAGAGATCGGAAACAAACTTGGCCACCGACGACGGCGATAGACGGCAAAGAGTCCCAGAGTGTAGGCAATGCGCTAGCTTCGCCATGGTCACCAAGAGCCGTACAGGCCCTCTGAATTTTGTTAACGAGAGAGATCAAATTGTCCATTTTTAGAAATCAAATATCCAAATCGGTCAAGACGAAGTCAGATCAGATCGCCTCGATCCGACAACTAATCAAGGCGACGACGACGCTTGAAACAACTTCAAAATCCGAGATCTCCGGCTCAGAGAAAGAGAGAGAATCGGGTTTGAAGAAACTGGAAATGGAAAGAGGAAAAGATAGAGCGGCCGTGGAAAGCATTTGCTCGTCTTTTATTTATATTTCCGAAACTTGTAACCATGTACCCGCAATTCTTTTTACTTTTTTAAATTAAAATTTATTTAATTTTTTAAAAATCAAGCTATTTTTCTGTCTATTAATTTCTTTTCAATTTAATTTCATTAAAAGTTCGTGAAAACTACAAAGTTATTTTTTATTTTTAAAATTTAATTTAAAGGGTATCATCGGACAAGATGAAGAACATTTAAAGAAATAGTATAAAAACGACCCCTTTTTTTATATTATATATTTTTTTTGAGAATTTTAATTCAATAAATATTTTAATCAATTGAGTTATATTTAACATAGAGCAGATTCGCACAAGTGTCTAGGTAGAACCCTCGACCATTTGGACCCATTCGAAACCAAACCAGAGACCAGAGCAGGATTCAAATATTTAGAACCGTTGAAAGGGTCCACCACTCTTGAAAAAGTCCTCTTCTTGGATTTAGGAACCCATCGTAATGGTTTTTGTCATTACCAATTTACCCATTCAAGTTCAAATTTGAACTAATCCACTCTCAACAGCAGTTCATGGCCTTTTTGGGATGCCATCCTTTAGTTCTATTAGCGCCCCGAGCACCCTTTTTCATTCACATGACTCGAAAGAGACCGTATAAGAAAATGTTCGACTAAGAGAGAACACTTTCATAGCTTGTAATATGTAAATCTTGTCACACTAAGACCGATCAATATCCAAACGAGACGGGTTATATCAGAATCCATCAAGATCTAACTCTCTCCTTGTTCTCAGAAAAGGTGACGAAATTGATCAGAAACTGAACCAAATCAATGGACTTAGAACTACTCCTTAAAAGAGCTGTTTTTATTAAGGCTTTAATTACATCGAGATATCTCAGTGATGATCAACTTGGAACGTAACCAAGAAGTTCATATCTAATATAACAGAAGATATCTATGAGGAGAAGCAAAAGCGTGTAGGGTTGAGAGATGGCCCCAAGAGAGATATATAAGCAATACCCATCACTTGGAGCTGGGAGGTTCATAGCCATAAGGATTCTTGCTGGCCCAGTTCCACTGATCCCTGCACATCTCCTCTATTCCATATTTTGCTCTGCATTCACAAATGAAATTGTAAGATCATCTTTTCCATATCTCCAAACTATCTTGATTCTGTATTTGTTTCTTGGTTCAACAAATGCCCAACAAAATAGAACAGATCAATGAGAAACGTGTTGCAAGTCCATTACAACGTTCGGTGTTGCTGAAGTAGTACTTTCATCCGGTGTATTTGTAACAGCCCAAACTCACCGTTAGCAAATCTTGTCCGCTTTGACCCGTTACGTATCGCTATTAGCTCACAGTTTTAAAACCCGCCTACTAAAGAGAGGTTTCTACACCCTTATAAGGAATGTTTCGTTCCCCTCTCCAACCGATAGTTTCCACGTTCTTATAAGGAATGTTTTGTTCCTCTCTCCAACCGATGTAGAATCTCACAATCTACCCCTTTGGGGTCTAGTGTTCCTGCTACCGCACTACCCGGTGTCTGACTCTGATACCATTTATAATAGTCCAATCCCACTGCTAGGAGATATTATCCGTTTTGGCCCATTACGTATCGCCGTCAGCCTCACGGTTTTAAAACACGTCTGTTAGAAAGAGGTTTCCACACCTTTATAAGGAATGTTTCGTTCTCCTCTCCAACCGACGTGGGATCTCACAGTAATTGAGGGGTTAGTTACCAAGTTATTTCTATGAAAGCAAGCTAAACCCACTCAACCCGACATAGAGGAAATAGCAGGTGGAACGTAAACAAACATATACAATCTATAAAGGAAACCATTAAAGAACAGTGAGACATACTTCCAGTTCAGCTCCTTTTCTGCTTTGTGTGTAGACGCGTAGACGATTTCAGCGTCACCGGGTCGGCGTGCAGACATTACAAGAGGAATTTTCTGGATCAGAGAAATTTAACCAGTGAATTCAGATGGGAGGTGAAGTAGTGCCATGATGGGAAGAACAAACATTCAAATACTTCTAAACTTTTAAGAAATAAACTAGCTATTCGTGCTCGTGGTGGAAGTGGCGGTAACGACTGTCGTGGACGGGGATAGGATATTGAGGCCCCATCACCATTCATTTTGCCTTGGATCCAACCATACTCGGAACCAGGAGCGTAACGATCATATCTAAAGAGGTCAAGTTTCGAGTTAAAAAAGCAAATGAAAAAGAGGCAAAAATACCTTTCCAGATGCCTTTTCAAAAGCTGCAACCATCTCCAAAACTGATGTACCCTTTCCAGTTCCCAGATTGTAAACTTCACAACCTGTCATGACACATATCGTTCAAACTCTTGAATGATTTAATTTTCATTTGTGACAGTATAAGCCCGAGGTGTCCTCACGGCATTATGAACGTTATTACAGCTCAAAATATAAATTTTACGTTTCAACTAACAGTCAAGCCCACCCCTAGTAGATATTGTCCTCTTTGGACTTTCTCCTCTGGACTTCCCCTTAAAGTTTTAAAACCCGTCTGATAAGGAGAGATTTCTACACCTTTACAAGGGATGCTTCGTTCTCCTCTCCAACCGATATAGGATCTCACAATCTACCCCCCTTGGGGGGCCAGCATCCTTGTTGACACACCGCCCGGTGTCTGGCTTTGATACCATTTGTAACAGCCAAAACCCATCGTTAGCAGATATTGTTCGTTTTGGCCCATTACGAATCACCGTCAGCCTCACGATTTTAAAACGCGTCTGCTAGGGAGAGGTTTCCACACCCTTATAAGAAATGCTTCGTTCTCCTCTTCAAACAACATGAGATCTCACAATCCACCCCCTTTGGAGGCCCAGCGTCCTCACTAACACACCGCCCGGTGTCTAGCTCTAATACCATTTGTAACAGCCAAAACCCACTGCTAGCAAAAATTGCCCGCTTTGGTCTGTAACGTATCGTTGTCAGTGTCATGGTTTTAAAACGCGTTTACTAGGGAGAGGCTTTCACACCCTTATAAGGAATGTTTCATTCCCCTCTCCAACCAATGTAGTATCTCACATTAAGACATGCACCTTCGACGAAAAGGTCGAAGGTTCGATTCCTCTATACCATGTAATACCGGAAGCAAAGAGCCAGATAGTTGTGTATTACCTATACCAGCCGCATCCAACTTGCGCAATGCAGCAATGTGTCCATCAGCTAAATCAACAACATGAATATAATCACGTACCTGCAAAGGACATAACATCTTTTAATGGGACGCCTGCACGAAAAACTAGAAATCATGCAAGCAACACGATTCTAGTGTCCCGAAAATCAGCTTACTCCAGTTCCATCTTTCGTTGCATAGTCGGTTCCAAAGACGGTCAAGGCAGGACGCCTGCCAACAGCAACTTGCTGCACGAAAGGCATAAGGTTGTTCGGGATTCCACGAGGATCCTCACCAATATAGCCACTGTGATGTGCACCAACCGGATTGAAATATCTTAGCAATATGATTTTCCATTCCGAGTCCGATCGGTACGTGTCACGACAGATTTCTTCTATGAAAAGCTGAAAGAGAATCAAAACCACATGTTATACTCAATACCAAGCAAGAACAGGAAAACAGCAACGGTGCAACAGTGAATTGATACCTTGGTTCGTCCATATGGGTTTGCTGCAGAGAGGGGGAATTCTTCTGTACATGGCACCTCCTTTGGCCAACCATAGACGGTGGCTGAAGACGAGAAGACGAGCTGAAATCTCGAAAAATATACGAAAACAATCATGGAAAGTAACATTTGTTTTCAATTTATATCAGTAGAACAATGTTTTTAGTAGCAACTCAATAGAAACAAGTACCTTTTTACAACCATGGGCCGCCATGACTTCCAATAAAGTAATTGTTCCAATCAAGTTGTTGTCATAGTAAAGCAATGGTTTCTGTACACTTTCTCCAACTGCTTTCAGCCCAGCAAAGTGAATAACAGTGTCAAATCTGCAATGAAGAGTAGTCAGCTGAGCATCACAAAGGCTCGTAAACAGCAATATTCAAATTTTATAGCCCACCGCCGATAGATATTGTCCTTTTTGAGCTTTTCTTTCAGGCTTTCCCCTCAAGATTTTAACGGCCCAGACCCACCACTAGCAGATATTATCCTCTTTAGGTTTTCCCTTTCGGGCTTCTCCTCAAGGCTTTAAAACGCTTCTGCTAGGGGTAGGTTTCCACACTCTTATAAAGGGTGTTTCGTTCTCCTCCCCAACCAATGTGGGATATCACAATCCACCCCCCTTCTAGGCCCAGCGTCCTTGCTGGCACTCGGTCCTTTCTCCAATCGATGTAGACCCCCACCAAATCCACCTCCTTCGGGGCCCAGCGTCCTTACTAACACACCGCCTCGTGTCTAACCCCTTTGAGAAACAGCCTCCTCGTTGGCACGTCGCCTTGGTGTATGGCTCTAATACCATTTGTAACTGCCCAGGCTCACCGCTAGCAGATATTGTCCTCTTTAGGCTTTCCCGGGCTTCCCCTCAAGGCTTTAAAACGCGTTTGCTAGGGAAAGGTTTCCACACTCTTATAAAAGGTGTTTCGTTCTCCTCCCCACCAATGTGGGATATCACAGGGGTTTTGTGAAATCTCACATCAGTTGGAAGAGTAACAAAGCATTTCATACAAGGGTGTGAAAATCTCTCCCTGACCGATTATATAAAGATCATACAAATTCGTGCAAAAGGGCATTAAATAAATGAATCTCTACTTTCCTATCCAACAAAACTGTTAAAGAACAGAGCAAGTTCTTACGGTGTTGAGGCAAACACCTTCTCCAAAGCCTGTTTATCCCTGAGGTCCACCTGTTATGATTTGATAAAACAGCAGAAGACAGAAATTCCAAACCCAGAAAGGAAAACAGGACAAATTAGAAGTTCATAACAAAAGAAACCTTAAAAATCAAAATCCGGTTCAGGAGTAAACATGAAGACAAACATAGCAAAACCAGAACCGAAACGGAAACCTTATGGAACAAAAGATTTTTGCCGAGATCGCCGGCGAGCTCCTTGACACGACGAACAGAAATTTCAGAGGAATTATCCAAATTATCGACGACGACAGTCCGGTAACCGCCGAGGAGGAGCTGAAGAACAGTGTGGCTTCCAATATAGCCAGCACCACCGGTGACAAGAATAGATTTCGCCATAACCACACAAGAGAATGAAGAAGAAGAGTTGATCAAAAGGGGCAGAGAATTGAAACCGCTGAAGAAGAAAGATTCGGAAATGGAGAACAAATTTATAGAAGTAGAGCCTAAACTGGAAGAGAATATCAGAGAGAAAAGTATGTTTTTTCTTCTTTTTACTTATCGTGTTTTTTTTTTTTTTTTCTTCCTTCCTTTTTAAAAAGGTTCCTTTGTAATCACTAGGAAAAATAATAGGTGGGGACTGGGAGGGGTAATATTGGTATTTTGATAGTTTTTTTTAATTTTCATCTAATAAATCTTTTTTCTTTTTTTGTCTACTCAACCTTTTTAAAATTCACATATTCATTCTTCATAAATTAATTAATTTAAAAAATATGAAATGTATTAAAATTTTGTTAAACACATTTCTTTTAATTATAGTAATTTGTGGTCTAAAAAGTTTTTTTTTTTTTTTGTAGTTTTAAATGGTTATTTTTTAATAATCAATTTGAAGTAATTTGTTTGGTTTGGTAGAAACAAAATTCCAAGGAAGCACTTACATAGATAAGGGTTGCCATCAACTTTTGGAATATTATTAAACTTCTTTATCTAAAGTACATTGAACATTAACCTAATTACACAAACTTTCCCCCTTTTTCTTGAGATTAAATGTATTACAAAAACCATATGAGTCCAATATTTATTACTTTTTTATAAACTTGAAAACTTTAGCCACAATAACAAACAAAATTCATTTTTGCTTGTCACACTTAAAAAATAATAATTAAGAAATATGAATTTTAAATTTTTATTTAGCCCTTTTCACCTACCTTAATTACCAAACAAGGTAGGTTTAGAATTAAACCACAAATAAATAAATAGGTTTGTACACATAAAATTATATATGTTTTTATTTCAAGGGGTTTTTTTTTAAGTATATTTCAAAATTTTGTTTTTATTTTGATTAATAAGAAAAAACCTATTAAAAATAACAAAAAAAAAAAGGTAAATACATTATTTTCCATATTATATATTATGGTACGTGGAAGAATTTCAGCCATTTAATTTTCCAATAGTATTAAAATTAAGAGATGGGAATAAACCTTAAAAGATTTCAATTGCATTTAACATAGATTTATCATATTCTTTTAACATTAATTTTCCTATAAAAGTTAACCCTTGATGTCTCACGAGTGCCCCCAACTACACAGTATACCTAAGAATAAATAAATAAAGTGCAATGCATTAAAATAAAAATCTTATTACAAAATGCCAAAAATGACATGGCAAACTATATGAAAAGTATAATCTAACCTTCCTATTTTTTAGGCGTCACTCTCTTTCGCTAAACACCTAAGTATATGATCAAATTTCCAATAATACGAAATTAAAAAAAAAAATATATATATATATATCCAATGTATCCTTTACCAAACCCACTAAAGTAGAAGGATATTATAAATTTTAATCCTTTTATCACATCTCAGTAATAAATAAAGGAAATATTAAATTTAGACTTAAAGTAGACAATATAATAATATTATAGAGATATAGAAAAATTCCTAATAGCTAACTTGATCACAATCAAACCAAACTAACCAAACTAAGAACATAATTGAAACGCAAATACGGGTATTGGTCCAATAGAAGCAATAATGTGTTATATTTACGTGGTAAATGACATTTCAGCACTCAGGAGGGAAAAGTTCCAAAGAAACTTAATAATACAATTTAACAAATGAGATGTTCAGTAATGAGACATCTGGCCACGAAGCACTGACCTGATGCTGCTTCAAAACTTCATGTACATGCACCAAGTAGAGATTGATTGACATTTTCACAAGCAAGAAGGTTTGGGAAGTATCTGGACTCGTGATGGAGGTGTCCATACTCCTAGATTGGTTTGACAAATTGCTAGTCTGGGTAAGAAGTGAAGGTACAAGGCGATGTGGCGAAGAGGTATAAATGTTACCTGGATTGAAAACATGAGCACAAGCCTGTTTAAACCTCTTCTGTTGGCATTGATTGGTTGAAAAGTCTTTCGGCTTCATCGTTGGCTTCTGCTTGTAATCTCCATCTCTGCATTGGTATTGACATAAAAGATTAGAAGAAAAAACAATTAATTAGCCAAAAGATGGAAATAGCGTCTGCTGGTTGGCTCCAAGAATGAGGAAACCATTATAGTCCAGAAGAAACCACGAGGAACTAAGAAGACAACAGAAACCAAAACCATTTATTTCGTTCTGAAACTAAGGGTAATAAGTGGGGATTTCATTATTAAAAAAAAAAAAAGCAATGCGAATCACATATTTAAAAATTAGTCAAACAAGAGCAAGTTTCTCAAAATGTTGACAAGTAATATACTACCGGTTAGTATGGATGCAGTTAGAGAAAGACACGATCATAAACAGTTAACTTAAACTGGGGTCTATTAGACTTCAAGCAATACTTCAACATCACAACTAAGTAAACAGAAAGGCTATCCCTCTGCCCAAAATAGAAAAATAGGGGGGGAAATAGTTACGCATGCAAACAAAAAACTAATTCATAGACATACCTCTTCTAGATTTTCCAGCACCATGATTTGCTCAATCTGTTCAGAAACCCTTTCCTGTAAAATGGTTCACAAAGTTAAATAACTCTATTCCTTCTAAAACTTATGATAAGACAGAAACTGAACGCACTACACTGCTGGCTGCTTCAGCAGCTATAACATCAGACTCCATTTCAACTTCTATCTCAATCATTGAGGAAATCTGTCAAAAAAGATACCACTTAGTAGCCATACCCTTCCGGGAGTAGAATTCTTAACACAGTGATATGTCTTAGACATACCCTTGCATAGCTTTCTATTAGTTCAATCCGTTGCTTAAGGGAATTTTCCAAGCCTTCTCGCACCTTTTTTATCCTACTTCTACGTGCACTGGAGACAATATAAAATTGAGTTTGGAGGACATTGAGAAAGATGGAAAAATGAAAATTCCAAATATTTTTACAACCTTAATAAGTCAATTGAAAATGAGCATTGGCAATAGTTCATTGAATTAAGAAAGGACCAGTCATAGTGTTTAGTAGGATTCACCGGTAAGAAGGTTCTCCAACGGCAAAAATTTTATTCTCTAATTGGCACATCCGAGCCAACATCCATACCTACAGAGAGGACAGAAATTCAAGTGAACTTCAATAACCAGATCTATAATGTTATAATAACAAAATGAAAAGAACATGATTTCAGTTATTTGATGATAACCAATCTTTGTATCACTGATGAGTGCGTAAGTGAAGACCCAGGCTACAGATTAGAGAACAATACTGGTAATAACTTCCAATGTTTTTCTTCAGTAATAAAAGATTAGTATAAGCGTGACAAATTGTAAACCTCATGTATTCAATTTAGTTAACCCTATAATATGTAGTTAATGTTAAGATATGAATTAATGATTAAATTTACTTCATGATGCCATGACCAAGACGATGTGAGTGCGTACCTCCTTTTCAGCAGCTAGTTTTAAATCCCTGATACGAGACTGAAGCACATTATATTGAGATAAAAGCTGCTGTTTGATAGCAATGATATCAACTGATCGTTGAGGAAGCTGACAGTCAGAAACATATGAATTAGTTCTAATCAAGCATTCGAGGAGAAAAGTTAATAATAATATTAGAGAAGAAAAATATGGTCACTATATGGGTGTAATAACTAAATACTATTTTATAATCAGATATTCATTAGGTATTTGAGCAAGGTACCCAAATTTTGTTTCACGAGGACATAGCTTGTCAATGACAGCGGATTTGTACAAAATTTTAGGCAATATTTAAACGAAGAAAATTGAGTAGGAAAATATACGATAAAAGTCTAATTTTAAGCATGCGATCAAGAAAAACAGGTTTTTTTGGTTAAAGAAAAGAAGATCAATTTTGAAAACAAGAAATTTGGGTATAAAAGGCAAAGTACTGTTACGTTTGCAGTGCTTTTCAATTTCTCATTGGAAACCGCGTTTCAGCATTATAAGTACATGCTCGAAATTTTCATGTTCGACTGTTAGGCATTCTTATTCTTAAAGATTTTGAAAAATGTTCAGAGAATTTAAAGTGCACTCCAAAAAGTATTTAGCATGAAGCTTTGCTAAAAGTGGGATGCAGGAATAAATTTTTTTAAACTCATTTCAAGTCATTTTCAGCAGTTGACAACATTCAAATAATAATTTAATGCGTCTATCGATACCACAAGCCAAAATTTAAAAATACACACGTACAAAGACATGGCATCAGTGACAACAACCTTATGCAAAAAAGTAATGTATCTGCGTGTGTAAATATTGAAATATAAAATGAGGTTTAAACATAGGTGTAGCAATACAGAAAATAGTAATTAAAGAAATCTGTACCCGATTGAATTGAGGCAAAATAAATGAATTCAAAGTAGCTCCTGCAGCTAGAGAAGCAAATCCAGCAACTAAAAGCATCCGAGGCAAGCTGGGGTCAAGAACTCCAGAGGCAGCATCTCCAGCGACAGATAAAAGTATGAGTGGAAAGAGGGCTGACGGCTTAAGTAAGAATGAGGTTTCCTTTGCTGGCACTCTTATCAATAGTGATTCCCGGCCATCTGAATGATTTGTCAAGCACATAGGCTCACCAGAGTACAAATTTGGATCCTTTGGACTAAATTTAATTGGACCAACTTCTCTGTATACATTTGATGGAGCTGCAGCAGCAATTGTCACCCTTTCTCCTTCTCGTGCTGGGAGATCTGCTGTTTCAGTGGCAAACTTCTGGGTTCGTGCTACTCCAGAAGGAGTTTGTACCTACAAAGAATGACAAAGGAAAAAATTAGTAACAGGAACACGAGAACAGAGAGAATTATATGTTAATTGCCTCAAAAACTTTGGATAATCAAGGCAGGGAAATAATAATATCCAGATAACTTAGAAACTTTCATCAGAACCAGCAAGCTAGCAAACTAATTAGGTGACTAACAGGAGTAACACTTATTCCTGAGATGAATAGCATATTTTCCTATACACCAGTCAGTAAAAACTCCTACCTTCGTGGTTTATTTTTAGTAGTTCAAAGACATTATTGAGACCTACTGATCTATGTATATGCAATAAAAATAGACCCTACAAATAAACCATGATGTGCCAAGTTTTCATGAGAGAGATGAAAGATTAGTTATTCAACCACCTAGATATGATAGTTGGAGAAGAGAACAAAATGACGTTTCTATGATAAGTACACAACTCTGCGCGTTTGAATACTTTTAAGGCCGCACAATTAACTAATAGTGAAACGTATGGTGGATGAATTACTCAACAGACACAAAAGGAGTGGAAAGGGGGAGAAATTATTGCAAATTTGGAATAAAATTAGAAATATAATAATCATGCATCTACTCATCCCGCTGATGCTGAACCAGATCAAATGTGCAAATATTTGGAGATGATAACAAAAGCATGGAAACGAACCAGACAGTTCAAAGTCAAATTGAGTTATGCATACCACAATGGAGTGCACAGCAGCAGGGAGTTTTTGCTTCATTACATTCAAGAACCGGAGTGCTTTTTCCCATGCTGGAGTATCCATGCTGCGTTCGGTAGGAGGAGATCCTTAGAAAAAGTGAATATTCCAGGATCAACATCTAATGCAAATTTGTTTTGTAATTAATATACAATTAAGTAATAAGGTTTGCAGTAATTGAATATTATCCTGAACCATAAGTGCATAGTGTTCAGGGTAGTGGCAATGGAAGTGTGATATTAAAAGACATTTCAGAACTTGAACCTATAGCCTTTTTCGTTCATAAGAATCCAAAGCTTGTTGAAAGCACAAAACAAAAGAAAACGGCTTAAAGTACTAGCAAACTAAATAAATAAAGTTTGTGATATGCAAGTAAACGTACCTAATTTCTTCTGACTCAATATTAACTATGTTTCCTGAAATAAGTTCATATTGGTAGCGGCACTTTGCACAGGATACAATCTGCAAAAAAAAAAAAAAAAATCATTGTCAAAGGTAGGAGGTTGCAGAGGGACACGTATAGTTCACAAAAAAAAATTGCGAGATAAGAATATTTGCATTTCTCAGGGATAAAACATTCAAGCTACTAAACCACATATCTCAGAGATAAAGCATCAGCATTTGTTCAAAAATAAACCAGGAGCACTGAACATATGCTTAATTAGGTGCACAACATCAAAGTCATGGAAACTATAGTGGCTTTGTTGTATGTCCACTGGCAAAGGCCACAAGACAAAATCTACAGTACTTCATAGTGCCAGGAATGGATGGGAGAATTCTGACGTAAGAACAAATTAATAGAAATTTATAATACAGAAGGCAAATAATTGCCCAAATCATGAAAATAAACAAAGGAGATGTTCTATTTTATATCAACCCTATCTTTTCACGGCATGAAGGTCCTATATCATGAAAGACATTGGACGAGCATGTGTTGTTATGATGTAGAAAACAATTAATAATCAACAGTAACTAAAGAACTATAATATGATTTAATCTAGTAGTTATTGTCATTGAAACAGCTAATGCAGTATAGTCACGTTCTATCTAATCCTAGTTTTCCCAGGGAACTTGAAGAGATTTTCATCAAACATTAATTCTAGAGACACTCCGTGATAGAATGCAATCAACAAAAGCAGCCGTGTCCTTCCATACCTGAATACCGTGCTGGGGTTGTGCAACCGCTACTGCTACCATACAACTGGGGCACTGCACTACCTTTCCAAATGGGACCTTCAAACATTTTACAGCTATTCAGGAAGCCTGTCTTACCATTTTTTATGTTCATCACAATGCAGTAGCAAACAACTGCGAAAATGTCTGCCTATGAAGAACACATACATATCTGAACAAAGATTAGTTTCTCACCTCCTCAGCAGGTGATACACCAACTCGGCAAATAATCTCGATAATCCTAAGAGCATCAGAGACCCTCAAGGATGCTGCAAGACCTTGAATCAGCAATGTATATACATGGACATCTGGCCTAGCCCATTTCCATCTCTCAACAGAGGAAACATTGTCATTAACACCCTCCCATGCTGTAACTATTTACAATGGCAATGGATTAGCAAATTAGCAGATATATTACCGTTGGGCATTGAAAATTAATGTAAAGAAATTTCAGTGAATGCCGCCCCAAACTTAGCAACTATACATGCCTACAACACTAAGAACCTTGCTAGGCTCCTCTTCTTCCTAATCTCAATCAAAGCACGTAATCAATCTTTTTCAGTGATTATCCTAATTGCATACTCTTCCTGCTTAGTGCCCTTAAAGTAACGAGGACACGATATAAGCTTGATCTGTAGTATAGATGAAGACACTGAAACAAAGTAGCGTCAAACTACATGAAGGAATGATTGAAACATTGTAAAAGACACCAAATCAGAGACGAATCCCAGCGGCCAGAGTTAAACGTCTTTCTTAACTACTCACTAATTTAAAGAAACCAATCCATTTACTTGGTCACATACTTTGCAGCATTAGCTTTAATTATTAAACAGATGGAACTTCGAATACACACATAAAAACGAACAAGTCACAGGCACACACCTTCATAGAAACTGGAGCGCATTGCGTAGAACACGGACAGAGCAAGCTCCGAATTGTTACGCTTAAGTGCAGCCGCAATAATCAAACGACAGTCCGGAACAGACACAGTACCTCCATTCCTCCCTGACTTTTCGGCGATCATCCGCAGCACTTCATCGGCATCCTTAGCACCCGAAACAACACAAATCAGCTCGTCGTCGAGTAAATCCGAAACAGGATTCTCAAAAGCCGCGGCGCCATCGATGTTGCTGACATTTAAAGAAGCTCTAACTCGCGTCGACTGGGAGAAGGACGTGAAACGAAAGAAAGCGTGGGAGCATAGAAGGAGAGGCATGAGGACGCTAGTGCCATTGCTTGCAGAGGCGAGTGGTTCGATGAGTTTGGGATGAGGGAGGCGAGTGATAGTGAGCCATGGTGAACTCAAGTGCAGAATCATTGTACAGTGGAGCTTTGGATTGAAACGAGGGAAAATGGCATAGAATTTGTCGAATGCTTTCTCTCTCCTCTGTGCTTTTTTTCTCTCTCTAGAGTGGGGATTTTGGCGGATAAAGGATGAGGAATGAGAGGTCGTTAGACGATGACGAAGCTGGGCAATGGCTACATGTGGGCGGGTCATCGGAAGATAGAATGGAACTTACTCAGATCATAGCCGTCCAAAATTAAAAAAGCAAGGAAAAAATGGAGGTGCGGGGAATCGAACCCCGTGCCTCTCGCATGCGAAGCGAGCGCTCTACCATATGAGCTACACCCCCATTTGTTTTTAGTGTGATACAAAGTATTAAAATACTCTTTATCCAAATATTCACAATTTTTCGCACAATGAAAACAAATAAAAGTTCCAACAAAGTGCATTTTTCAGCTATTAATTCACAACAGATAAAAATATAATACAATAGAAACAAAGTTTCTGTATTAGTGAAATGCCAAGGATTATTAATATAACCATTTTAAAGAACATCCATTTTCAACAATGCCAAAACTGCTAGGTGTGGCTTTGACGATTACCATAGAAATCTATGTTAGTTTCCTTTATTTGTTGATTGCTGACAATAAAAAAAGTTGAAACTGTTATTATATTAATCAGTATTTGGTGGACTAAAAAGAGTAGTAAGCAATTAAGATTTTCTTTAATAGAGAAAGTTGGAAAATTAGGCCATAAGAACAGAAACAGTAAGTTAAAATAAAAAAGACTTTACATGACCGGCAGATAAAACTTCTATAGCATTTGATCATAATGAAGCTAAAAATGCTAAAAACGCTAAAAACAGCAAGCCAAAGGTTTGGGTGAAAAAAATGACAAGACACAACTAGATTCCTTCCTTTTCATGGTATCAGCTATCGGCCGAGGACAAGCAGGCAACATCTACATTTCCCATACAAATACTCCATTTATTACACGATGTTGACGTGTGGGTGTGTTCTTCAGTTACCAAAACGGCCTCTTTGCCATGGAGGTATTTGCTGGCGACCACCATTCCGTTGTTGTGCGGCGCCATTCTGTCGCTGTGACAACACCCTCAGCCTCTGTTCCTTCATGTTGGCAAACAGTGAGTCCAGAGTTTGTGGTCTCTGTCTCTGCGTAGCATATGTTTGTGGTCTCTGTCTCTGCGTAGCATTTGTTTGTGGTCTCTGTCTCTGCGTAGCATTGGTTTGTGGCTGGGCCGGTGCAGCTACCTGGAGAAGGGAAGAAGGGGGAATAGATGAGATTAAACTAACTGCGATCCAAACTTGCATTCATCATCTCATTTGATGGAGTAACTTCACTACTTCAGACCAAAACTCAGTTACAAACACAGTACCTTGGGAACAAAGGTTCGATTATTAAAAGGCTTCCTTGGAACCGGTGGAGCATCAACCCTGCACCAAATATTATTGAAATGATTGATGAACAAAAGAAATAACATTTATAAGTAGACCCGCTAGGTAAAAAAATGACTATCCAAATTAAACTTCCACAAACCCAGATATTTTCAACACTCCTTGAGCGGCAGTATGCAGATAGATCAGAGAATCTTACCTCGATGAGCAAATTCAAATGGTATCCCATTAACAGAAATAAAAAACAAACCAGATCATGAGAATGCAGTCATCAAAAAAAGAGAATCAGCTCAAAATGTGTTGCGCTTGCCAATCCAAAAAAAGCACTGTCCAGTTATAATAGCAAAACCAGAACCTCAAATCAATCATCGCACGCTTGGCTTGCTTTAATGCACAATGAAAGCTCCAAACTAGTATTATCAATGAACAGATAAACTGCTCCGCAGGAAGACTCCTGTCCGGAACTTGAACCAGAAAATGAAGGCTTCAACCAGGATATGATTTAAACGCGGCAGTAGCATGAATTTCTGCAGTACTAGTGTATTCCACGTGGATAAAACCGAAGTCTACACATAATACCTCATAGAAGAAGCCATAAATGCCATTGTTCAACACATTTTAACTAACCATACTTAATTTCTTCAGCACTTTCGTTATTCATAGAATTATGAAACGACAAATGACCAGAAGTACACAGTTCTTGTTTTACTTGCAACAAACGCAATTTCAATTCATCCCCAAGTATCTACTAAAGATGATGAGATGTCATATTCCTCGGGTCAGGCTGACTACAGGGATAAAGAAGCATTTTTCACAAGTGGAAAACTTTCCAGAGTCGAGGGTTTCCTCATTTGCAGTTTTACCGTTAGTCAAGAAGTAGAATTACTGAGAGACTTGTCAAGACATGGTAGTTGGAAGGCTGACAAATGTACCCAGGATGTAACAGCAAACGAAAAGAGAACACCAAGTGGAATCAACAAAACTAGCAGACGGATCATTAACATAGAAAGATGTGCAAATTCTGACATCACAGCAACCCCTAGGGTTCTTTGCATCCCTTATTGCAAGCAAACAAAGATATATCGACTGTCATCACAAGGAATGAAAGTTCACAGCAGCAAACTTTGAACATAATGAACAAGAGACAATTGTGGAATAACCGTTAAAGAGACGGTGCCACAATCTCAGTCAACTCCTGTTCTAAAAACATCACATCTTGCAAACAGCTTCCACATCAATGCAACAAAAGGGAATCTGGAAGAGGCTGCTATAATATTGTAGATTGTCTAAGAAGACTTGAGAAACCCAAGACAATAAGCACATTCAATAAGGAGCTAAAACTCAAAACTATACACACTCATCCAATGAACACAAAAGCCCTTTTCACCACACCACATTTTTCCAGATGTTCGCAGCAATCAAATTCAATCAAAAGTTCAAATTATCTTTGTCCCAGCAACTGAAACTCCCACCAAGCACTTACTTGTCAGACAACCAAAAGATAACTCAATGCATTCCAGAACCAAACTTAAGAAGATAAAGCAGAATCAATTCCCAGGTAGAATGGAAGAAACAAAATAATTGGAAATACTCCCACTCCAATTCAACTGGTTGAAGCAAAAACTTATCATCCAGCTTATCCAACCAACATATTATGTTTCTAACTTCATATTTAAAACTTGGACACTGTAGAAATCATCAATTGTGTATAAACGTGATTTACCTGTCATAGCATCAAATAAAAAATTAAACAAACCAGCCATCAAATTAAAATTGTCTCTGTAATAAATTTCTTCTTTAAAACTATCATATAGTTTAGGTATGTTGCCAGGGTAGCTGAAGTAAAACATATAATCATAATTCACAATGAGAGCTTTCCGTAGGCTAAAATTGTATAGTCGTATACCTTGTCTTATTCCAGTTGGGTGCCCTACGATAAAAAGCTCTGGGGCGAGTTGGAGCAACTACAGCCCTTCTGGAAACCTCAGTTGTCAAAGCAAATTGATTCCCTTGAAAATTTGACCTTCTTTTGGCCAAAGCCCCCTAAATACAAAATGAAAATTCGGAACTCGTCATACAAAGAAAAAAAGAAGCAAAATAAATGATATTCAAGCTAAATAACTGTACAAACCTGTCTTACAGAAGATCTTGAATCCATGAAACGCTGCAACTTCCTAGGTCTATCTTGAGTGACATTATTTGGAAATTTCTGCATTTTGTTCTGCAAATGGAAAGATAAATCACTACACATATAATAAAAGGAAGACTCCCACATTCAACAATAAACTGCTCAGGTTAAAGGCATGCTAAAAATAAAAGATTCTTACCGGAAACCTTCTTTCCTTCCTGGCTTTATTTCCAGTAATTTTGGACATTTTGATAATATCGTCTAATTCAACAACAAAAAATGTAGAAACAGAATAATCAATAAATTTTCAAGAGGCCCATAAATTCTCAAGTACTGAAAGATATTCCGAAGCCCAACCTAAAGCCATGTCCATCTTCTTCTCAGTTACGGCAATAGCCTCAGTTGTAAGTGGTTTAGCCGCCATCTAACATGAGATTCAAAATAAAAAGTTAGAGTGGAACTAAAAGAAAGGTAACAGTTTGGGGGAAAAAACACAAATATATCAATAGGTGCAAATCCTCGAGTGCAGAAACAATTGGCAAGCAAGGTGGCTGAGAAAAATTTATAGGTTTAAAGCGAACGAAATAATGCAGTTCGTCAACACGGTAGCTTCAAATAATTAAGAAATAGAATTCTATTGCGTAAATTGAGCATATGGCCTCGGAAAACTCTAAGAGAAACCATCCATGTCCTCACATCAGTCGCAGAACTAGAAGTTGTCAACAATTACAATATGCTTCCAAGGTCTCATTAAAAACCGAAGAAACACCGGAAGAAAAGAAACTACATCGTGGCAACCAAAGAAAGGGGGAAAAGCATGCGCAGATATAGTTCGCACTGAATTACAGAAACAGAAAACTCATCCGAAAACAGACCTTCAACAATACAATCCCAACACAACAAAGAACTCTCCTCTCGTACTCAACCTTAAATCAAATAAAAAGGCATACCCGAAGGTACAATAATCTACTACGCCTCCCACAAGACATCAAATAACATCAATACAAAAGAATCACGAAATCGGATACAACTTCTAGGGTTTCCATCGTAAAGTAAACCTCGTAGATCCAAACGGAGAAGAGATAACAAACCTCTTGACGATAAGATAGTTCGTCGCTCGAAAAAGGATCGGAGAAAAACCAGTGAAGATTTAGGACAGAAAAATCGCAAAGAACCTAAACGAACACAATGAAAACTTCCTGAGCTTCGCGGGAGAGTCAATTCCTTGCCGCCGAAGGAAGAGGAGACTTGGTAGAAAAATAGGGCAACGGAGGCATTATATATAGAAGAAAGCAACGACGTCGTTTAGTAGAAACTTCACGTAGAAATAAGGAAAGTTTTGGTTATGTATACGTAAGTTTGTTAAGTTTGCACTGGCTTAAAATATTTCTACTAATATTGGTTTATATTTACCATGAACTAATCATTTCATTAGTGAAAATAAATTATTTTCCTTAATTAAATATATGAAAGTTATAGTTTTTTAGGACCTAATAATGCTGCTTGATATAAAATTAGTGGTTGAAATTAGCATTAATTGAAATTATTCTTTTGTTAAACTATTGTTTTTTTTTTAATATATTTTTATTTTTTTTTTATTAAAATTAGTTAGTGAATTTAACCAAAGTTAAATATTTGATAATTATTATTATATATACAATTTGATGATATCGAAAATTTAAGATTAAAATTTATACAAATAAGGATTCTTATGCTTGTTGTATGGTATTTGTAGAATTATTTTCTAATTTTATATTTGAATTTTTCTTTTTAAATCAACTTGATCTACCATTGTTTATAAGTAACACCCTTATTATTGGATTGGAGTAGAGTTAGGAGTGTACATTAACTCAACAACTCGGACTAACCCAACTTGAACTATAAGGGTTGGGTTGGATTAACATTTCGAACGGTTGGGTTCATTTTTTTTAACCCGAACTGAATCATTTGGTTTTGGGTTCATGGACAAAACATTCGGGTGGACTAAAACAATTAAAAATGTATAAAATTTATTAAAAAACCATTTGTTTTGTGTAATAGATTTGTCAAGAGTGTATTGAGGCCAATCCAAAGACAACTCCGGACAAATACATATATAATTGTTTTTAAATATTATTTTGTTATTTTATTATTTTTAATTTCTTTATTTAATTTCTTTTATATATATATATATATATATTAGAAATATCTTAATTTTTGTAAGAACCATATTTATTTAATTTCATGATCTATCCTTATATTTTGTTTAACCAATTTTCAAATAATATTGGTAGTTAGTTGTGTCAATGTTGAACTGTTAATATGTTACCATTTTCGCTCGTTTTTTTATTGAATTTATTGTTTCAATAATTATAGATTGGTTTGTGTTTGTTTGTGAAGTTTTCATATATTTTATGTAATCTGAATAATTATAAATTGTGAATAAATAAAACTAAAAAAAATTTGACAACCCAACTCGAAAAAGATGGTCAGGTTGGGTTGGATTGTGAAAAGTTTCGGGTTGAGTTGGGTTACCAATCCAACCAACCCAAACTTTTGGGTTGGGTAAAAAAAAATCCCCCAACCCGACTCAACCCGGACAATGTACACTTCTAAGTAGAGTCATTACAACTGGTTTTATTCCCCTATAAAACGTGATTTGACCAAAATTCAAAATACAAGTCCATGGTATGTGACATTCGAGTAATAGAGGAGATACATAAATAAATTTGAGACCATGTGTGAATAATAGCGATCCTAAGAATGATCAGGTAACTTTGGGCTTAACTTGTAGATTTCCCAAGGGAGAGAATGGATTGCATTCGAAATTGGTGCGATTATGAATACGGGTTCTCTTGACCATTGGGCTTCTCATCCGGACATCTCGAACATCTATCCATTCAAGTTCTCTCGAGTATTAGACTCTCTCGTGTCCGTGCCTAACCATTTATGGCATATATTATAGATGATCCAACCTTTGACATATGAATTGGGGCGCAAGACCAGTAGACCTGTGTCGTTCAGTACTATCTTTGAAATATCGTTTTCAAATGAAGATGCTCGAAACGCTTGCTTCGCGATACTTGCCCATTGCATGTGCTACAACCAAATTTAATTTTAATTTTTAATGTAGTTTTCATTAGAATCTTTATCAAATTTTTATCATACAAATATTTTATAATTGAAACCATATGCAAATATGATTTTTATTCCATTACCAATTGAAAAAAGTATCATAGTACTTTTCAACAATTTAATAAATTTAAAATATAAATTAATTTGAGATAAAAATTGATATTTTTTTCCATAATTTTTAAAATCGTGAAACTAATTGAATGGTCAAACCAAATGGAATAAAATCAAACCATTGAGAAATGATATATGGAGTAGTTAATGGGTAGAATTCTATTTGATAAAATATAAATATTTAATAAAATTTAACATTTTTCGTTTGAAATTCAATTATTTTTACTTTGGTCAAATTTTCTTTGTTTTTTCAAGTTTCAAACAGCTCGTGATTTTGAAAATAAAAAATAACTTAAATTATATTAATGAAAAAAAATAACTTTTAACAACCATACAAAAAATGTTTATCAAATATAAAATATTAATATTAATTATTTCCTTATTTTTACTATATATTAATATTATATGTTAGTTTTTTTTTTTTTTTTTTTTTTTTACGAAAACAAGAATTAAACATTTTTCATACATCTAAATCACATTCTCCCGTGAAACAGACAATTAAAACTTTTCAACGACCGATTCAATGGTGCGAAGAGAATTGAAAAGAACATTAACATGCATTTAATGTAAGAATACGACAGGTTGAATTGTAGTTTTCTTAAAATAAAACTAATTCTACACTCTAAATTGATTAAGTCTTTCTATATAATTGATGATTTAATTTCGACTTATCGTTAGGTTTCAAATAAAACTGTGTAATTGTTGAATTATTATTTTAACCTCTGAAGAAAAAAAAATACAAAAATCGACTTCAATCGTGACTTTTTTTTTCAAAAGTCTTAGATCTTATCTTGTGTCATTTACTCCATCATAATTTTAAATTGTTTATAAAATACTTTTTTACCGTAAAAGTATAATTAAGGTATGATTGAGTTCATCGAACATGTAGATCATGATTAATATCTTAAGACAAAAATTTATTGTAAGTTTATAAATACTTGGACCGAAACAATGTACATTAAAGTTTAATAGTTAAATTGTTAACCAATTGAGTTATATTTAAGCTCGGTTCGTAGAAGAAAAAAAATATGAATATGATGAAATGACCCTTATGAAACGAAAGGGTGGACCAAGTCAAGCATGGGTATTTTTGGCATTTGAAGTGGGTCCTACTCCCAAGAGCTACATAATTTGATCTGTTTTCATTAGGGGAGTTGTAAGGATCAGACGGAAAGAGCTTTCCTTTTCTTGTGAAGTTTTGGTCCATTGGTCACATCTAAAGACTTTGGAAAGTACACTAAACAAAAATTACTTGACCCAAACATGTTGATTTTCCAAGCTAGATTTGAAGGTGATAATTTTTTTTATATATATATATATAAATTATATTTAACTCGATTTATATATATTCAAAGCTAGAAAATTAGCCCGTGTATCGTATAAAGATCATAAGATTATTTTATACTGTTACCCTCAACATGTCCGTCTCACGATACTACCTATTTGGGTCATTTTGATTAATCATAATTTTGGATTGAATATCCGTTTAGGCTTCATGGACTCTGATATTGAATTTGTGATGTCCCACGTTAGTTGAGGAGGCGAACAAATCATCCTCCATACGAGTGTGAAAATCTTCCCCTAGTAGACGGGTTTTAAAGCCTTGAGGGCTAGCTCGAAAGGGAAAGTCCAAAGATGACAATATCTGCTAGCAGTGATCTGGGCTGTTACAGAATTAAAGCCGATTAAATAAATAATTTGAAAATTCATTAAAATTTTGTAATTTAATCGGGAAATTAATTTTTTTCTTTCTTAAATTATTGTTGACGGTAAATAATGAAAAAACTATTGAAGTCCGAATGTAATAAATATTAAAAGAATCGAATAAATGAAAGAAAAAAAAAATCGATTCTTTTTTTTGTAATAATTGAAAAGAAAAAAAAAATGTCTATAACCAAAAGTTTCAATAAGCAAATAACATGGCTTTGAATTCTCAAGCATTTTCTTCCTCTATAAATAGTTATTTTTCCCTCTCTTTCTTCCTCACAATCTCATCTCTCTAATTCTCTCTCTCTCTCTCTCAGATCTGAAAAATCATGATCGGCAATTTGATTTCAAGCTTGAACAAAAAGTTGCAGGCGGTTGAGATCAGTAATCGCTGCAGACGAACGAAGAAGACGACTAACGTATACAGACGTGATATGAGCAAGAAGAAGCAGCCGCAGTCGCCATCGCCGTCGCAGGGGAAGCCGGAGATCGAGAAAGTGAAGAAGAGAGTGAGATTTGCAGATACGGAACCGGTGATAATCGCCATTGACAGAGAGGAGCGGAGTACAGAGGAGGAAACAGAGAAGAAAGTGGTTAGAATTACGGTGAAATTAACGAAGCAAGAAGCGAATCGGATGCTTTCGAGGTGCTCCGATGGCGGCGTTCTAGAATTCGGAGATGTTGCGAGTGAGCTCATGCGGATTCCTGCGGCTCGCGTTAGCTCTTCTATGGTGGTCAATTGAATTTTCCCCTCTTATGTTCTTCTTGGAGAACTTCTAGGGTTTTCGGAAATTATATTCTTAATCTTTGCATTTCTTTTCAATTTTTGCTTCTGATTTCATTGTGATTAGTAGATTATAAGTTCAATTGGTGTAATTAGGAGTTAGGATTGTAAATTATATTATCACACAGTGTCAACATTTTTGTAGAAATTATGTATTAAGCATTAAGAACAGAGGCATTGATATCCATTCACCGATATCTGCAGACATGTTATGGCCGATGTCTGGATATGGAGTGAGGGCGGCTTCCAATTTTTACGTAGAAAAAAGAGAGACCACATGCTTGAATTTATGAGTCAACATTTAATGGTAGCTTTCTAGAAATTACGGCTTTTGAATTGTCTGATAAAGTAAAAGCAGGTCGTAATGACCGGTGGTTGAGTACTTCATTCCATTTCGTGCATTTATGTGAAGCTACTAACTGCAATCAAACTTCCAACACCATTTTTGTGGATTTATTAACATATATTTCCTACTGTTTGGGTTCGATTTATGTTCGTGACCACACGATTTGTTTCCAAGAACACGATTTGTATATAAACAGTTTTAAAAAATAAATTACAAATATTGTATTAAGAGGATAGATACCAAAATGAATGGAAATAATTTTAAATAAAAAATATTAGAATATGAATTTTATATCTTTTTAAATGAGTATACTAAGCATGATTTAGTTGATATTAACATGTCAAATAATCATATCAAATAATCATCTCAAATATTGTGTTGATCATGCGTGTTAATAAACTTACTCATCCAATTCTTCTTTCCTTCCACGCAATTGTCTATCGATTCTGTCGAAGTTTTATGAAAGTGCCGCCGCTGTTATTGACCGTTGGGATTTCGTAAACATAAATATATTTTAAAATGAACAATAAATTCAAGCTGGTTCAATCAACTCTATTATAGTTTTAAAAGAATTCGTGAACCAACCAAATTCAACCTAAATGAGGTTGTAATTTAATTCAAACCGTTGAATCAGGTTGGGTTGATTGAGTTTTGAACAACCCTAACTTTACGAGCATTTGAATTTTTGATCAATAATATATGTTGTTTATTATTGATCTAGATTCAATTTGGCAAGTGAGATAGTAATTCATATAGTTTTTAAGATTGAATTTTTATAATTAATTTCCCAAATTTCTTTTTATAGACTTTTAAAAATTGATTACGAATTATTTCTAAAACAAAACGAAAATTTCGAACGGACCCTCAATTTCTCGTGTAATTAATTAACTAAATTGACACGTAAAGCTACAGCCTACAGCCCATGTGCCTTCTTGTAATTTCACCAAATTTCCCGGGAATTAATTATTATTTAATACTGGGCCTACACGTGCCAACTTTTATAATAAACATTCTTTTTTAATTAAAAAACATTTAGTTAATATTTAATCATGTAGTCATGTGGTTTGGTGCTTAAAACAATTTTATTATGAATATATATTATAAAATGTTTTATAATTCCCCTCAAAGATTTAAAATAAATAAAACGCTTTTATTTTATCCAAGCAGGAAAAGAAAAAAAAAACATTATTTTTATTTTTATTTTCTCATCTTTTCCCTCCAAAAAGAAAAAAATGAAGCATAATTTTCTAAATATAACAACTTTGTTGAAGTACTTTTGTTTCTAAATCACGTGTTTTTCTCTAATTATTATATATTATATAAAATACAAAATAATTTTAATTGATTAAAATATGGATATGGCACAAATAAAACATTCGTTTGGTAATATTCCGACCGTCAACTAAATTTAGGAAAACGACATAGTTTTACCTATTAAAGAAATAAGGATTTTTTTTAAAAATCTTTTAAAATGAAAATTCAAGTGACAAAATTGTTGCTTCAATTTTCTCCCGGAGGTATTACCTAATACATTTTGATGGGAATCTCTATTTGACCTAATGTTTGAAAAATATCGAGTTCACATTTGGAGTCAAATCCAAAATAAATATTTACTTTAATTTTCTCGGATCTGGGACCGTTTCTTTACCTAAGTGTAAGGTGATTTCACATTATATTTTTGGTTCAAATTCATTTGCTTTGAGATAAAAATATGACTATATCCGTTCATTTCAACATGAAAACTAGTAAGCTTATGGTGTATACCAAATCTTCCTTTAATTTGAAGATGCAAACGATGAACATATAAAGCTAGAGAAGATATATGAGATCATTGTGGATAACTTTTTTTTTCTTCATTTTTTTAAATTATTGTATTTCTTTTTATTGGACCAAGTTTTAAACATCTATTATTACTATAATATAAAAAATTAATAACGAGACATTTTTCAACACAAACAAACCTTTTTTTGTTATTATTATTATTGGCTTAGAAATCGTTTAGGCTATAACAATGTTGTGAGACTAGCCCAAGAAACCCAAGCAAATGCCCAATGTCCTACTCTATGGGCCCACTGATGGGCTCCGATCAACCGGCATTTATTTGGGCTTCATCCATTTACGGCCCAGTATCTTACTTTGTGGGCCCAATTGAACGGCTCCGATTAACTAGCATTCGTTTGGGCTTCATCCATTTACGGCCCAATATTCTATTATGGTCGGCTGAAGTGTTCTCTTTGCAAATTAGAGCGGCCGATTTTAGAAAAATAACCAAATTACTTTAAATATAGATTTCAATATTCAATATTTACTTTTATACACGAAGTAGCTTTTTCTTTTTTCTTTAATAAAATACCATTTTGATGTTATACTTTGAATTTCATTTTTTTTTGTTTCATAAATAGATTTTTTTTTTTATTAATCTACTTATTCCGTCATTCTTGCACGAAAATTTATTATTATAATTTAATAAACTTGGACAAAAGTCAACTTTAAATAATTAAATTTAATTTTAAAGGTACGACTTATTTTGAACCATTAAACGTAATATGCTAAAATTAAATGAATTTAAAATATATGAATCAAATATATATATATAAAAGAAAATTAAGAAAGTATTTAGAGTGAAGTAATTTCTAGACTTTGTTATAAAGGTCGATGTCATTATTGATAGTCAACTAAATCGTTATTGGTGCAAGATAATAATGATTGATCGATACTTTATGTTTCTTCTTTTTAGTAAAATAGATGTGAAAGCTTAATACTCTTAGCTTTAAAAAAGCTAATTATAATTTTATATAATTTATTTAGATATTCTTTTTGTTTAAGTTAATTACATTTAAAATTAATTAACGGTGTTTTTCAAACTAATAATAATAATAACAATTAATTGTCGACTGATTTTTTACTCTCTTTTTTTGTCGGCATCATTTCATTTTTTTTTTAAAGAATTTGGTGATAAAAAAGTAAACATATTGATTTTAATTTGTCTTATTGATATATTGGATTCACATCAATTTAATCTAAAAAAAATTATATTCAAAATTACTTATTATGGTATGCTTGGTACAGTCATCACATGACACGTCATTATATATATTTAAATTGGGACATTATCCTTATATTAACTGCTTGTTTAAATAATGCATTAATATTTAAATATTTCGCATGAGTAAGAATGATGGGTTTGTATATATATATATATAAGGATAAAATTGTCATTTCCTAACCTAACTTAAATTGGGATAAATAACTCATAAATATGTTTTTTGGATTAAAATTAATTAAAAGGGTAATGGGAAGAACATGCCATCAATATTAGAATAATGAAATAGCTACAAAATTAGAAAATTATTTAATTTTAATTTAGATTATATAAAATTTTAATTTAATAAAAAAAAATGCCATTTATTATTTTAAAATGTACCTTAGAATATGAGCCACTTAAAATATTTACAATAATCCACTTCGATAGCAGTCAAATCAAGTTGTGTGAATTTACAAATATACCCTTAATCATTGTAATTAATTAATTAATTAATTTACGAAAACTCTGAATGTCAATTGTTAAACAGAAATACCAAAACCTGAGCCTCATGCCTTTTCGGCTCTTCGTCTTCTTCTCTCCAATCGGAGCTTTCATATGGCCCCCTCCAAATTCTCCGTCGCCATCCTCCTCCTCCTTTTACGCTTATTGATTCTAGTCGGAGCTGAATCGCAGTTTCTTTGCAAGAGCTCCTCCTGCAGTGGCGTTTCCTTGCCGGCCGTTCGATTTCCGTTTCGACTGAAGAATTCGCAGGATTCTCGATGTGGATTCCAGCCGGATTTCGACCTGTTCTGCAACAATCGAAGCCAGACGATTCTCAGTCTCCCGAACGCTGGAGACCTCGTGGTGGAGTTTATCGATTACAGATTTCAGAGGCTGTGGATAAACGATCCGGATCAATGTTTTCCGAGACGACTACTTATAAACTCTTTTGATCTGGAGAACTCGCCGTTTGTTTCTAACTATCGGTTAGAAGAGTATACTGTTCTTAATTGCTCCTATTACGTCGATACGCTGCCGTTCGATCGTGTCCGGAAGATCAAATGTATGAGCGGCAGAAACCACTCTGTAATCAATGTGCCGAACAGAGACCTTAAGGCGGTTTTCGCTTTCCTGCCATCACCGTGTAACGTATAAATCGAAACATGTTCTTGTTTGGATTTGTTTTGAAATTAGTGATTTGATTTTGTGATTGTGATTATATTTAGGCTATTGCGACGAAGAGGCTTCCGTTGACAGGGATGGAGCTTGAAGAAGGAATGGTGGTGAATTGGAGCGAGCCGGATTGCGGATATTGCGAGATGCGCGGTGGAGATTGTGGATTCAAAAGCAATTCGAGTGCCGAAATCGAGTGTTTCAATCTTCCAAACGGCGGTATGTTAATTTGATTGTTCCATTCTCTCTATATCTATTCTGAATTTGCTCTCCGCCGGGGATATTTGTGAAGTCGAGAGAGGCGAGTGGAGTTTTTTACCGGCGATCGGACGGTGGAATAATTCAACTAAAAAGAGTGCGAAAGGCCAGTGGTTCTTAAGACTAACAAACTTGTGTCCACTCTTCCACCTCCACAAAATTTAACAGATTTAAACAAAATTTTAAGAAAATGATAATTATAATTGTGGTAGTTTATTTTATTTTATTTTTTATATAATTATTCTTTATTTATTTTCCGCTTATTTATTGCAAATTTTGGGTTCTAAAATATGTTTTAGTATATTTAGTGCTTGAGTTTTATTTTTTCTTTTCAATTTACTCATTATTAAATTTCTTCAATTAACCTTATTTAAATATTTCAATTTAGTCTTATATTTTAGTCGAAGATGACTTTACATGATTTAATATCAGTGGAGGGGACAAAAAAAAAAAAAAGAAAAAAAAAAGAAAAAGAAAAGAGTAACATAAATAAGTAATTTTTTATTTTTTGGGAAGTGTCACATCAATTTGTATTACCTAACGAG